CCATTGGGCTAACTGGGCGGCGACAGGAAAGTTGCAAATAGTTGCGGTGTCGACAAACGTTAAAGCCCTTAAGCTCGCGTTTATCACAGAAAGTAAAAACTTTTTTTGTAGCGGGGATTATTCAGGCAATTTGTCTATGGGTGGTTGACAGTGCTCCCGATTAGGAGAGGGTTTCATTCGTGGCTTGGGGAGCTATAGGTCGAGGAGTATTGTGTTGGGTGAGTGTTGACCTTTTTTTCGGTGATCCTCGTGTGTTTCAGAACTGCAAAGAGCTGATTCAATCTGTAGAGGAAACGGGATCGATTGTTAGAGAAATACGAGATTTGGAGGATCAGGTATGGCACGTCACGTAACGTTACGTAACAGTTACCTATTTCATTAGTTTCACACACGAACCGTGAGGCAACTGTGAGCTGCGTGTTCATCACTGGATAGGAAGCTGGTCCATCTCGCAAATATTTCTTGATAGTATGCCTTTTTTTCAGTGTGCGATCCGGTTCACACTGAGTCTTTAAAAAGTCGACAAAAGCAATTGCGCGTCCTTGCGCCTTCTACAGATATTACGGTGCATTTTGTCTGGTTCGGGTGACAGTTCATAGATTTGATATGAAAGATGAAGATGAAGATGAGCAACGAGTTCAGGTGAAAGGAATCCATCTTGGGCCCACTGCGAATCCCACCCCTCCTATCGCATTCAAGACCCGAATACGCTTTATAGCAACAATGCCACGTCTGCTATTAGCCTGTCCCAAGCGCTCAGTTACCGGTTAAACGGAGCAAAATTGCAAACGGCGAGATAGCAGCCGGAGCAGCCGAGGAGTGAAAAACCGAGAGAGGCTTGGGTCGGGTCGGGTTCACTACGTGACCCGACCCAAACCTTCCTCGTTTTTTCAATCCTCTGCGCTGTTTACTTTTGCGCTTTGTTTTACTGAGTATACGGCTGGATCAGGCTTGACTGCCATGCTAAGCTCCCTTCTGACCCTTGAAACCTAACATCAGTATGCAAGTTCTTCGTACTGTTCTCTACACATTTCCTTTGGTACCTACAGGGAGAATTTGTCTAACAGTCAAGTGCTTCTTGCACTCGTGATCATTTTCTTTACTGCACTGACCTCATTGGTTGATTCAGGGGTGATACTGTTGGGAGAAACTAGATGCTTATCACTTTCAGGGGTCAGGAAGTTAATTATTTCTTTCATCGTAGATTGAAATGAAAAGTCAGAAAAACACGGCAACAAACCTCGAGCGAATCACGGCAGACTACAAGCAGATGAAAGAAGAGAACAACGCATTGGCGAAGAAACTAAAAGCAGCCAAATAAAAGAACAAAAATTAGTTTAATCAAATAGATATTTTTGAAGCAAATTATTCCTGAATGGATGATCAATTTAACTGAATTGAGGCGTTTCTTTAGATCATTGTTTTGGTAATTAAACTTGAACCCAAATTTACTCAGTCCCAATTTTTTGGTACTTGTTCCTAGTCAATGTTTTTCAGTGGAGAGGGGAGAGGAGAGAGGGAAGAGGGGGATGTGAGAGAGGGGAGAGGGAAGAGGGGGAGGGGAAAGAGGGGGAGGGGAGATAAGAGAGGAGACGGAAGGTGAGCGAGACGTTTTTAGCGAACAGAAAATTTGAACTTCCTGCCGTGCGCTCTCAGCCATTGTGCAATAAGACTATAGACCACTTTCATAAATGGCTGCCGGATTAATATTCTCTTGGTACGATGAATATATGAAGTTCATATATTTTGAACTGCGGTTATAGATACGTATGATGCACGATCCTCGCAGTAGAGAGCGCTATTTATGCAATAGCGAAAATCAGACCTGAAAAAAATTAGGCCTGTACGGGATTCGAACCACTGACCTCTGCGATACTAGTGCAGCGCTCTGCCAGTTGAGCTAACAAGCCAACTGGGAGCAAGCCGTTAAGTTGATTCGTAATAAACCCGTGATGATAAATTATTACGAATCAACTTA